AAAAAAAAAACAAGAAAGGAATATTCTTGTTTTTTGTTTCATCCCAACCAAACACCCGATATATACCACTACTACCGTATTATTATTGAATGAATGTTTGATACGTTTTTCGTACATCGTACATCATCCTAATCATAAGATGCTTACCCTTTCTTTTCAAACGGATGCTAAAAACAAACGAAAAATGATGATGATGATAATGATAATGAGGATTGAACACTATTCGATCGATCGATCGATTGATTGATTGGATTATTTTTAGTATAGAAAAATTGATAAACTATTGATTGATTGGAAAAACAAAACGTCATTTCCTTTTTTTACTATCTTTCTATCTTCACTTCTTTATCATGATTAGACAATAATAATAATGGATTTTGATGTTTGTTTGTGTGTGTGATTAGCATATTTATCAAATCATTTAATGAAAGATTTGATTGATTGATTGATTGATCGATCGATCGATCGATCAATCTAACCGCCGTCTAACCTGATAAATCAGAAAACAGAAAATCAATTTTTTTTTCTTCTGGATTGATTTGTTTGTATATTAACCACCAAATTTGGTAGTTAAAAAAAACATAGCAGTAGTTTAGTTTATAAACACACATTGACTATCACATCATTTTTTTGCATTTTATCAACGAAAAATTTTCCATTTTGAAACAAAAAAAAAAATATGGAAAATTTTTCGTAAAAAAAACTTTTCCAATCGAAAAAAACAAAATGAGATTGACCTTTGAAGGTTGTGTGTGTTTTTTGTGTGTTTCCGATTGGAACAAAGTTACAAATCAAATCAAAATGATTCAAATAAACAACAATTTCAACAAAGAAACAAAAAAAATTAAATAGACACTTACCCGATCGGAAATTAATTTGTTTTAAGGAAAAACGACAGCACAAAATAAAGAGAGAAACACAAATGCAGAATGAAATAATAATTTTTTTTTTTGAAAGGAAAAAAGTATCAATCGAAATGAAATATCCAATGTGTTGTATTTATATGTGTGGAAACAGAAAAAAAACAGCTAGATTTATTTATTTATTTAGATTTTCTCTCTCTGTCTCAATATACACACACAGAAATACGTGTGTATGCTTGCGTGAATCTATCCACACACACACACACAAACATCCAATTCAAGTGATTAATCAATCAATCAATCAATCAAACACAAGCACACTTGAAGATTACAAAGAAAAAAAAGAAGTCTTATGTACATACATACATCATTGATTTGATTTGAAAAAAAACGGATGGATGGATGGATGGATACATCTTATCACATGTTTTTTTTTTGGATTTTGAACACACGCAAAAAAAACTGAATGAATGAATCAAAGTTTATTATTATTTGTGTGTGGTAAACTAAAAAAATTGTCATCCAAAAGTGTGCTGTGTTTTTTGGATTGATTGATTGATTTATTAATAAGTGATAATTGTGTGTAACCAGAGAAAAGAAGAAAAAGATAAAGAAATTCTTATCTTAGCAGCAGAGAGAAAATGGATTTTATCCATTTTGGTTTATCCATCGATCAATCAATCAATCAATCAATCAATGGAGAAAACGAGAAAAATCTGTAAGAAAAACAAATCGCTTACCACTTGTTGATGTCTTATTGTTGATGATGTTTTGAAACCCAAAAAAACAAACACTCGTTACAAAATGATAAACATTGGAAAATTTTCATAGGAATATTTTTTTCTGATTGAATCGATTGCGATGCGGAATGAAAAAATCGAAAGAAAATGTTTCTTTCTTGATTGATTTTTAATTACCGAACATATTTTGTTTGTTTGTTACTATGGTTGATTGCGATTTGTTGTTGTCATTGAAATAGTGAAATAGAAATGGGGATATTTCATAGTTTTTCAAGTTCAATACATTATTATACAACAATTTAGAAAGAAACATTTGAAGAAGGAAAAAAGCTTATTATCATCGTCATTTCATTTCATATGATGATGATGATGAAGAAGGAAGGAGGCAACCTGAACATGATTCAGCAGAATCATTTGGTTTTTTTGAAGGTGATTTTTTTTTGCTGTTGTTGCTTTTGATTCATAATGAAGCAAAATGGCAATAATTTGTTGTTGTTGTTGATTGATAACAAATCATCGCCGAATTACGAATGAATTTCTAAACGAAAGGAGAATTCAAGGTAAACTTCGTCGATTACAAGCTGCAGAGATTGATTACGATCGTACGTTTTTCTTTTGTCGTGTGTGTGTTTCGAGATAAATACTTTTTTCCAAACTGTTTTTGGTCGCGAATTAAGTAAACAAAAAAATTTGTTTATTTTCTCATAGAGAAAAACAACAAAATAAGAGAGAGAGAAAGAGATAAGCATCCAAATGAATGTATTTTTTCGGCTGTTTATGTAATCGATCGATTGATTGATTGATTGATCGAACAATAACCTTCTTTTCTTCTTTTTTCAAATATTTTTGTTTTTCCCGCCGTTCAATACGATCCATTAAATCAAATTGTTAAAAACTATCATCACTAGATGTCGTTACTAGGTGCGAAAATTTTTTTTATAATTTTTATTTACAAAAATTCAATTTTCTAATTTTTGTTGTTTTTTTTCCCTATAAATTCCAGAATATAAATCAATAATTTTATCCCGTTAAAACAAAATAATTTAACTTACGACAAGTGAAACAAGAAAAAAAATGACTCGAACAAACGATGAAGATAATGATGGCCATCAAAAAACAATGAATAAAAAAATTATCCGTTCAGCAAAATCTGCAAAATCAGTCGTTGGTAATCGATTGTATAATTTTCGTTTAAACGTATGTGGTTCACAAAAAATATCACAATTACGTTTACAATTTATTTTACAACCATTTAGAATATTATTTGAACAATTTCCACAACAAATAAAAGAATTACAAACGATGATTGATGATTTTAATTATATTGATGATAGCAACAACGGTGGTGGTAGCCAAACAACAACAAAAAACTGTAATCAATCTTTGAATAAAGATCATATGGATAAACAAAAAAATTCAACAAAAATCACTACCACCACCACCATCAATGCAACCATAATGAAGGCAACAAACATGTCAAAAATGTTTTTGCTTAATCAAAAATCTAAACAACAACAACAACAACATTGTTGTTGTAATTATAATTATCATCAGATACCATTATTTTTAACATATAATGGTTATATTGATTCAGATCAAGATTTAATGATTTTATTGAAACAATTAGAAAAATATGAAGATTTTTATTTGGATTGGTCAAAATCATTTATACGTTCGATTCAACTTTGTCGTCCATCACAATTTGCTAATAATAATAACCGGTTATCAAGTTCACAACCAAATTCACAACAAAATATTGATATTGAAACAAAAGATTATTGTTTGACCTGTGTTGATGAATTTGCTGAATCTATACGGGGTAAGTTTTTTTTTGGAAATTTGAAATTTTCATTGATTTCTAATCATAAATTTCCCTGTGAAAACAAATAGAATCATCAAATTATCATCAAATTCTAATGCAAAGATTTCGTATGATTATTAAAATGCAACGTAATCCACATTTGATTGATTATCAAACGCATTTTGATATTGGTATTCGACAAATTTATTATGATTTAATGTTAAAACAACGACAATTGTATTATTATTATCAATTAACATATGATTTGATAGCAAAAAATTCACAAAAATTCATTTCATATTGAAAAAAAAATAAAGTAAATTTTCTTTCTTTAAAAAAAATCCAACAAATATTTATTTTTTTGAGTCAAAAATCAAATCAATTTCAAATAACAAAGGTCGATAATTAATTAAATGAATTAAGTAAAGTGAGAAAAAAAAAATAATTTATAATTTAACAGTATCATCCATTCCCCAAGCAATAGCAGTTGCACCAGCACTAACTAAATGAATTGCATTTGTTCCAACACGTTGACCGAATAGATGTAAATTTAAACCAGTATTTGAAAATGATTTGCCAATATTTGTCATATGATGACCAGTAAGATTTAAATTGAAACCGGTAAATGCACCAATAGGACGTATAACATAATGATCGGTTACATTTGATACAATTTGTGTACCATTATTTAAACCAGATGTAAATGATTGTATACCAATATCGGCCATTGATTTTGCTTGTTCATTAAATAATTCTAAATTATTTACCTGATTTGATGCAATATCGGTAATTTTTTGTGATAAAATATTTGGTATTGATATTGATTTCAATATAACCGGTGCTGATATTACTGAACCTAATGATGAACCAGACATAACATATTCAGCATGTGTTTGTGTTGATTTTAGAATGGCTTCAGCACTAACATTAATCGGTATCATTGCAGCACTGATTACAGCATTAGCTTGATTACGTAAAAAATCAACAAATATTTGCCAATAAGTTGGTCGACTATATTTAAGAATCGATGATGATGATGATGATGATAATGGATTTATGATTTTTGATTCATCACTGGTTGGGAATGGAATCGATGATTCTTCTTCAGTATAATTAACAAAATATAATCTGAATTTTTTCATTAAATCTTCATGACTTGGTACATTTGGATTGGTAACGGCCAATATTTTAACACTGTTGTTATTTGATGATGATGATGATGAATTTTTGGATAAATCATCAATTTCCAATAAAACACTATCAGCACCGGTTTGATTAACAATATTATTTGCCTGTGTAAATAAATTCAATAACATTGAATGATTAGTTATTGCATCAGGATTCATTGCCATTTCGGCTAATTGTTGAACATTAATTGTTTCGGGTGGAAATATTTCAGATAAAAATTCTTCTTGTTGTTCACTGAATATTGATCGACAATCGACCATCATCATTGATGATGATAAAATCAACAACAAAGATAAACGAAACATTTTTTTGGTTGAAAAAGATTGAAAATTGATGCAAAAATTGTCAAAACAAAAAAAAATTGAAAATAAAAACCAATTGAAATTTAGTTTGGTAGAAAATTTTCCATTTTATACGCTTTTCCAAAAACCGAAATATATTTGAACCAGGTTGAACTTGACAAACTAAAAACAAAAACAAAAATGAAAAAACATTAATCATCGATTTGATAATGAAAACAAAACAAAATTAATGATGACCCATTCAATTTTTACCATCATCATCATCATTATCATCATCAATTGAAAACATGAATGAACCATGATTAAAAACGAAGAAAGAAAGAAAAAAAAGAAAATGTCAAACAACCAACCAACCAACATATTGTCCTACATCATCATCATCGTCGTCGTGGTTGTTATTATTATCATTATTGATTTAATTTGATTTAACACACCAAAATGATGATGATAATTGAAAATAATTTTCATTTGAAAAAAAAACAGGAACAACAAAAAAAAAGAATAAAAATTTGTCATTTCAGCATAATTGATTGATTTTTTTTCTTCTCGATTCTGTTCTGTTCGATTCTATTTCTACCCCGGCGTTACCGAAAACAAACAAAAACACACCTTTGAAGTTTGTTTTGCTTACACCCTCCCCCTCCAAAAAAATGATTTAAAGATTTCATTTTTTTTCAATTAAAATCAAGTTCCCCACTTTTTATGAAGCTAAATCATTCACAAAACAAACACTACCACCACCACCAACAAAAAAAAAATCAAATCAAAACACCAGACAAAAGAAAAGTGTAAGACCCGAATCCGATACCCAAAACACCGGAGAAAAGAAAAAAATTCCATTACGCATTTTTCTGGCACTTTTTTTTCTGTTAGTTGGTACGCATATAGCAAACACCAAAAAAAATAGAGGCAACCAAAAAAAAGAAAGAAGATTGGGTATATTGGAACCCAGAGAATTTCAATGAAAGGAATTTTCATTCAACCAGATAAAACCAGAGTCAACCAAACAAACAAAAATGATGATGGAAAAAATTTTGTTTTTTTTTCGGAACAGACATCTTTTCTGAAACTTCTTGTTTTGGGTTTATTTTTCATATCGTCATAAAAACAGAGATTTTTTTTCGTTCATTCGTTGTCTTGTCTTCCTATTCGATTGGACGGTGGTGGTGATTTTGTTTGTTTTTTTTTCAAGTGAAAAAAAATGGTGAAAAAATAACCAAAACAAATTGGAAACAAGAATTTTCTTTCGCGACCAAACAGAATTTTGTGTGATGTGTGATTCACGTGATGCATTTCAATTAAAAACATGATCATTTTAAATGATCAAAGACAACAACAAACGATGATGATAATGGCAAAAATATCTCTGCATCAAACAAAACAAAACAAAAATAAAGAAGAAATCTAAATAAATAAATAAATTAATCAACTAAATTACCAAATTTTGAATGAAAATAATCATCGACAATAATGATGTGTTTGTTTGTTTGTTTGTTTATTTGTTTTTCTTTTATATATTCTATGTTGTTTATCATGATTGTGAAAATAAATAAAACAAACAAACACACATTATTGATTTAATTTTGAAATGAAATTAAGAAGAAAAAAATAATCATAATAATAATCATCATTATCTAATTTGTTTGTCAATCAATTAACCTAATTAGTTAATTAATTGATTAGGTTTTGAAAATTTTCAATTCGTTTCTCTCTCTCTTTCCAAAAAATGATCATTGAAAATGATTGAATTAATTAATTGATTGATAAAATAGGATGATGATAATGATAATGATGATGATGATGATGATGATGAATCAAGGTATATTAATTAGTGAACATCATCCAAATTATAATAATAATCAATATCATCATCATTATCAACAACAACAACAACAATTTCATTATTCACCAATTACAGCAACGACAAAAACGATGATGACAACAACCGAAATTAATAATAATGTTTGGTCAAAATCATCATTATCATCATTATCATCGTCATCGACGAAAAATTTTCTTCAAACATCAACAATGCCAACAACAATATCACAACAACAACAACAGCCAACAATATATTCATCAACAAATTCATATCTACCATCATTAACATTGGCAATATTATTAATGTCATCATCAACATTGGCACCATTTTTATCATCACCATCATCGTCTTCAAATCGTATCATCAATAATCATATAAGACGTTCGGTAACAGCCAAACAACAACAACAACAATCTAGTTCATTATCATCGAATCAATTTGATCTTCCATATTATCAAACAACAAATTCTTTTTCAATTTCATCATTATCATCATCGTCATTATTGCCAACATCATTGCCACCGTTTAGCACTAATAAACAAATAAAAAATGAATCAAATCAATTATTATCATCAACTAAAACAACATTGTTTGTAACACAAACATCAATATTACCTTTAGATTATTATAATAATGATGATGATAAAATATTTGATGATAGTATCGATGATATCGATGATAGTGATGATGATGATAATGATGATGGAAATACATTGCTCGATAATAATAATAACAATGATGATTTGGATATCGATGTTGAAGATTATAGTTATGATGATAGTAATGTTGATGATGGTCTTCGAAATTCAACAACAACAACATCATTATCTAATAAAAATCAAAATATTACAATAACAATAATATTATCAATAATAACAATATTTACAATTGTTGGAAATTTAATGGTTATTTATGCAATATTTAATTATCGTCCATTACATAATGTACAAAATATGTTTATGGTATCATTAGCTGTTGCTGATATTGCTGTTGCCGTATTAGTAATGCCATTCAATCTTGCCTATAATCAATTAGATCGTTGGATATTTGGTTTACATTTATGTGAAATGTGGTTAACAAGCGATGTGTAAGTAAACAAAACAACAAAAAATATATTTACCGTTTTGTTTTTTTCCTTTCTTTCTTTCTTTCTTGAAAAAGAATATTATTCGAAAAGAATAATAATAATAACAACTATTTCGACACATTTGGTTTGTGTCGGTGTTTATGTGATTTGTCGGTTTGGATGGCTGTTTTTTTTCTTGTTTTGTTTTGTTTTTACTAATTATAAATAACTACTATTCATACATTTATTTTCATTTTATTTACTTAATGTTATCATTTTCTTTTCTTTCTTTCTTTCTTTCCTTCCTTCTTCTATATCTTCGCCACCAACAACAACGGGAAAAAACCATTAACAAACATCGACAATTGACAACCAAAAACAAAAACAAAAACCAAAAAAAAACCAATGTTTTGTCATTTTGTTAACTTGTAATATCATCATTGGATTGTTGTCGTTGATATTAATCTTTTTTCTTTGGTTGTTTTTCGGATGCTCTGTATTTCTCTTTCTCTTCAAACATCAATTTATTGGCAACATTATAAATAAATAAATGAAAAATCTCATCATCTAAAAACAAAACTATTAAAACATTTTGTCGTATCTTTTTCTTTGTCGCAACAACAACAAAATTATACAAAATTCTGTGTGTGTGTGTGTGTGTGTGTGTAAATGAATGGATTGTTTGTTTGTTTGTTTATGTTTGTGTGTGATAATTATTAATGTCTTTGCTTGTTTCATGGATAATGTCAACAACAACAACAACAAAAACATTTATTTATAATTTCGAACCAAAAACATCCTCAACATCATCATGTTATTTGTGAATGTGTGTTATAACATCACATTTATGAATGATTAAACATTCGAATTGATTATTTGTGTTCGAATGTTATGATATGATACTTCTGATGATTGATTTGATTGAAAAAATGAATGTCTTTTTGGGCAACAAATCAACAAATCATTGATTATAATCATCATCTTCATTTAATAATTAAAACCTAAACAAACAAAATCCATCTTTGTGTGTAATGAAAATGATGTGTGTAATATCAACTGAAAATCGAATTAACCAACTGAAAACCTGAACAAAATCAATTTTTGATGTTGTTTTTTTATCTCATTTTGTTTCAAAAAAACTAATAATAAAAATGAAAAATCAAAATCGTAATTTTCATCATCATTTGATGTTAACAACCGACCAAAAAAAAAAAAATAACAAAATTTATTAAATTTGTAATTCATTTTATGTTTTCAACATCCATGAACATTTTTTTTTTGGAACAAATCATGTTTGTTTTGGAACAAATCATGTTTCAATCTCTAGTCTATGTTGTACAGCATCGGTAAGTTAAATTTTGTAAAAAGAAAGAATGAAAAAAAAACCAAAACAAAACAAAAATTTCCTTCTTTTTATTATTATTATCATTACTACATGTCTTTTTTTCATTACTAACAATACAAGCAATTAATTTTACTTTTATAATCTAATTGATCTTTTGGATTATTATTAAAAAAAATTCAATTATCATTTTCAATTTTATCGCTGGATTTGCCAATATTTTTCTTCCAGTTTTTCTTTTTGATGAAAATTTATTTCAATGAATTTTTCGTTTTTGCAGGAAAAAATGTCAATATTTATCTCTTTCGCACACACAATATTAAATACAATTTGAAACTGTTGTTGTTGTTGTTTGAATGGACCAAAAAATATATAAATTTTTTTTTTTGAATATAAAATTCTTCTTCTGCATCAATTTCTCGTTTTTTTTTTGCACCGTTTGACAAACGGAAATAGCAAAAAAAACGAAGCAAAATTTTAAATTCAGAAAAAAAAATAGTGTTGAGTGTTTGTTTGTTTGGTTTGGTTGGTTTGGTGGTGAGAGTTTTTTGAAAAGTTTTCTTTTTTTTTTCGCTCGGTGTGTGTGTGTGTGAGTGTGTGAAAATCGTGTGTAGAATTTTTTTTCGCTTCGTTCCAGAAAGAATATTTTTTAAACAAGCACGATTCGGCATCAGGCAGCCAATCAAAAAATTTATTCAAAGTTTTTTTTTTTGTTTGCCCAAGTTTGCCCAAACCACAAGTATAATCCGAGAAAATATAATATAGTATTTCGGTAGAAAGGTAAGTAGGTATTTATTGAATAAATAGAAAAAGAAAGAAAGAAATCTTTAGTTTTCCCCCCCACATTTATCTCTGTATGTGTCGACATGTATGATATAATAGAATTGATAAGCCTGAGAAATACAAAAATTTTTTGAATTGAATAATTGATTATTATTCTATATGAAATGGATGCTTAGAGAAAGAGAGAGATAGATAAAGTGTGAAAACACATTGGACACACATATGAATAGTGTTTTTTTTTCTTTTTTGGAATGGGCAAAAAAAAATATCTTTTCTTTTCTTTTTCTTTTCTTTTTCAAAGAAAAAGTTTCCATAATTTTTTTCCTGAAAACCTAAAAGAAATCTTGATTGAATTAAATGAATGAATGAATTTAAATTGAATTGAATTATGGATGAATGAATGAATGATTTTGTTTTATTCATAAAGAGATTTTCTATTTCGATTTTTTTTTTGTTTCGAAACAATTTTATTAAATTCCAAAGTATATCAATCTCGTATTAAAATGATGATGATGATGATGATAAACGTAATTTTAATTAAATTTTGATATGAAACACACCCACACACACATCCACCCATACATTTAGAAGAAAAAAAAATATGATGCGAATGATGATAATAACCAGAAATCTCTCTGTTTGTATTGAAATGAAATTAATTCAATTAAAGTTGTTTGCAATGATTCGATGATTTGTGAACAAGCAAACAAACAAACAAACAAGCAAAAAAACAAATAAATCAACAATAAAATTAGCTTTTTAAATTATATGTTTGCTTCTGTTTTCTGTTTGTTTGTTTGTTTGATTCAAACACTCCACAAATCAAGATATTGAACCAAAATTCTTGACATCTATCTCTATATTTGATTCGGGAAGAACAAGCGAAATAAAAAAATTGAAAACAAATTATTTGGATGCCAAGTCAGTTTTTTTTTAAATTGATTTTTTTTCTTTCTTGGTTGGTAAATATTTACGTTGAGAAAAATAAAAAGCCTCTTTCATTCTCAATCAGACCATGAATAAAGAATTGAAAAAATTATGTTTGAAAGAAGCATTTATAATGTTGATGATGATGAAAACCCATTTAGATATTTTACTTATTTATTTTGCAATCAATAATTTGCTGGATCAAAGGAAAAAAACAAAACAACAACAAAATACCTTTTCAATCAAATAGAATTTTTTTTAAGAAATTCGGTGAAGAAAATTCATTTGTTTTGTTTTGTTTTCGCAGGCCAAAATAAAAAAAAACCCTCAAAAATACCATTATCTATTGGGAAAAAACACACACACACACACACAGACCCAAATATTGTCATTGGTATTACTCTTGTGTGTATGTTTTTTGGTTTGGTTGATTGCAAAACTTTTTTTTTTGTTCATTTTATTTCTGGTCGCAATTGATTCAAGGCATTTTACTTTTTCTCTTGATCTTTTTTTCCATATACACAATGTTTAGCATTATCGATTGGTTGGTTGAAAGAAAATTTTATTTTTTATTTTTTTGTTAAAATTAAATTAAATTAAATTAAATTTTCTTCTTTGCTCTTTATAGAGAGAAAGACCAATTGAAAATTCAATACACACATCATTCAGTTAGCTATAGTAATAGACTATACCAAAAAAAAAAACGAAGGACAATGTGATGACCAAAATAATTTTGTTTGGTTTTGTCAAAAACCAAACAAAATATATCTGTCAAATACACATTCTTGTGGTCAGAATCTTTTAATTCAACAAAAACAACAACAACAACAACAACAACTTTCAACTTTTTTTTTAAAAATGAAATTCAAATTTTGATCCAGACCAGAAATTCATTCATCAAATTTTTTTTTCTTGTTTCACTATCGATCATTTTCTCAAGAAAAACTGATTTTTCTAATTTTTTTTCTCTATTTTTTCCTCTTTTCACCCACTTTAGATACTCAATTTGTGTGCCATCGCTCTGGTAAGTCCAATGTTTGTTTTTTCTTGCTGAATTTTGATTCATCAAAACTTAAATTAAACGAGAAAATCTCAATTCAATCTCATATACAATATACTTGATTTCATTGATTTGGTTTTTTTTGGCCAAAAATTTTCTATACTTTAGATTTACTTACTTGAATTTGTTTGTATCTAATGACATATCTACATGTTTTTTTTATTTGTCGAAAAGAATTGTATACATATGGTTGTGTGATCACATATGATGAAATTCAAGCTTTTTTTCATTTTTTTTCATATTTTTTCAAGATTTATCGAAGAATTTATCATTTTTCAAACAAAAATGAAACAGAAAATAAGAGAATTCTGATTGAAAATAATAAATGGAAATAACAAAAAAAATACCAACCAAATTCAAGTTGAATTTGAAATGAGAGAGATTTTCCATTTTGAAATTTCAACAACAAAAAAACCAGATGAAAATTTAAAATTCATTGGAATTTTAAATTTTTTCTTCTCTCCAACTAACTGGTAACCATCTCTTTCTCTTCTATATCTATCTCTTCCAATACATTCTTGATTACCAGAATAATTATCTTTAGCAATAACGACGATGACGACAAAATCTTCTTCTTCTTCCTTCTCCTCTCAATCAATGTATCCTTAGGATATGATTGAAATTTGTAATTTTAAAATTTTGAAAAAAAAATTTCCAATTGAAATTCATGAGAAATTTTTTTTTTTGTTTCCAATTTCATTCATATTGATGATTTGGGATTATTTTGTTTTGTTTTGTTTTATTATTAATCAAAATAATAATGATGATGATGATGATGAAATTCTCGAGAAATTCTCGAGTCATAATAAAGAAATAACCGAAAATAATAATGATAATTCTTTTGTTGATAATCATTTCCAAATAGATAATGTTTCTACATCTCCTTTCATTCCATTTATCGAATGACCCAAAACCAAACAAACAAACAAACAAACAAAAAATAACAGTAAACCAACAAAGATTAGTCGTTAGTATTTTTTTCTTTTGTTTTTGTTTTCAATTCTTTCATTAATGAATAATATCATTTTGGCTTTAGTTATTTGTTTATTTTGTTGTTGTTGTTGTTTTTGTGATATAAAGATGAAACGAAAAACTAACCATCCAGCTAAACTAACTAACTAAACTAAACTTTTTTGTTGTTGTTGTTGTTGTTGTTGTATATTCCATGTTACAAACAATCATCATCATTATCAATTTTGTATTTTTATTATGTATGATGTGTTTGTGTTCGTGCTATCATCATTATCATCACACACACACAAAAAAAAATACGATTTATTATTCTGTATATTATAATTTTGGCCAATTCTTTATATTCTAAATTTTGGCCAGAATGAATGAATGAATAAATGATGATGATGATGATTATGAATAACAGAATAACAGAATCCTTGTTTATTGATCACATTTTTATTCTAATGATTTACATTGATTTTACATTTCAATTTAATATTTTTTTAGGGAAAGAAATTTGTTTATTTTTCTCTATGTAAATTGAACATTCAACATTGAGAAAAACAAAACAAAAACAAAAACATATTGTATGTTTTCAATTATATCATCTTTATTGTCGAAAATGATGATTGTTTTTTTTAAAAAAAAACATGATTCAATATGATTTGTGATTGTAGAATGGTACGCCTACGTACCATACACATTGTGAAACCAAAAAAAAACATCTTAAACAAAATAGTAATTCAAACAATGGAAAAAAAATCGAAGAAATTGAATCGAAACATGTTATGTAAATAATGACTTTTTTTCCTGCTTGAAATTCAATGTTTTTTTATTATTATTGTCGGCCTCAAAACGTTGATGTTCAACAACAATAAACAACACACACACTCACATATATTTGGTTCAAGAATCATCAAATCTTTCGGTTTTTTCGTTTGAAAAAGTTATTGTTGTTGTTTTTGAAATATCCAAAATGATTGTTAACAAAACAAAAAACATTTATATCATCTTTTGTGGTTGTTGTTGTTTTTTTACTTGCTCTTTTTTTTCACCAACGAAATTCTTTTCGACAATAATTCCATATGGTAAAAAAAGAAATTGGATTCTCGATTCGAACCAAGAAAAACAAAATTCAATTATTTAATCATCATTTCTTTTAATAATATTTTCTGGTTTTTGTTGTAGAATTTTATCCCCTGAACCAAAAAATGATTACCAATTTTGATTCAAAGCAAAACTTGAAAAACAAAAATAAAAACTTCCCTTGAAAATAAATCATCATAATATTATATTTACATTTGAACTTTCTTTGTAAAAAAAATTTGTTTGCTTGTTTGTTTTCATTTTCATTTTTTATTCCAAAGTTTGGTCTTGTTTTGTTGTTGTTGTTGTACAAAACTATTATATAATAGCCTCAAAAAAAACAGAGAATATTTTGGGTAAAAAAAAACTTTTTACTTTTAATTTTCTTTCTCTTTTTTTCTTTGAAAGTAAAAAGCAAAATATTATTATTGTTATTGTAATATTTATCTATTAATAATAATGATATAGAATGAATTCAGAGGAAAACTAGGAAATCTTTTTTTTTTTTATAAAAAAAATGGTTCTTTAGAAATGGAAAACATTCATATAGAATGCTCATTAATTTTTTTTTCAATTCTTTCTATTGAAAAAAAAATTTATATTTCATTTGGATGTGTAGGCTAAATAGATAGGGGGTTAAAGATTAAATTTCCAAAAAAAATGAATAGAGTTTTTTTTTGTAATTATTATTAGTGAGTGTACATTTTGTCATCATCATTATCAATGCTAGAAAATTATTATTATTATTATTATTTTGAATCGTTATTTAATGAATATATTCACAACAAAAAATATATTCATTGAACATTAACGATTCATTCAATTTTCATTGAAAATGTATGTATGTTCTTTCTGTTTGTTTCTCTTGATTAGCTCCAAAAACACGACGGTGTTTTTTTTTGTGTTGTTTGTTTTGTTTTGTTTTGCTTTTTATATGTGTAGAATATTCATTGATTTTTTCAATGCCATTTTCAATGATGATGATGATGATGATCTGAATAAAAACGAAAATTGATTATGAATATGCATGATATGTTTTTAATTTGTTCAAAAAAAGAACCAACAACAACAACAACAACAAATAAAAGAGCCAAACCTAAACCTTGCTATATATGTGTGTATACCTGTTTGTCAACAACAGAGCAACAACAACAACAATAATGAACCAAAAAATAATAAATAATGATTATTATAATCAATGAATCTATGAATTGTGATCCATTAATGTTAGGGGGCACAAGAGATACAAGCAAAACAACAACAACAGCAATTCTTTTTTGTTTTTGTTTTTTGTTATGTTTCATGTTTGCCTCATATTTATTCATAGCCCTTTATGAAAATGAATTGTAAATTGTGTTGAATCATTTTTTGTTAGTTGTTGTTGTTGTTGAAAATAAATGAATGTCAAACATGCATGCATGCATGCCTACCACCAATACCAATCATCACCATCATTATCAACAACAAATAGATTTTTTTTGTTGACCTGAATATAATAATAACGATAATGATAATGACAATGGATAGTGGAAAGGAAGTGATAGTGAATGCAACCAAACATATACACATAAATAATATGGTCCGAGATTTATTCTTCGTTTTTTTTTTCTTTCGTTGTTGTTGATTATAGAAAATGATGGCCAATGATGATGATCGTTACAAATAAAATGAAATGTAGAATAAATTATCACATGTGTACAATATATTCATACATTGAATTGAATGACAGAATTTGAATGAAACTTTTTTTTTATATTCTTTTTCTCATATCATCTTGTATGTCGTGTGTATGATTATTATCAATTTATAAAATTCTGTATATTTTGTTTGGTTATTTTTTATTTATAAAAGAATTTGTCCTTTTCTATTATCAATTTGATGATGATGATGATGATGACCATGATTATAATGGAATTTCTTTTTTCTTCTCGAATAATATTGTAATCAAACAACAACAACAACAAAGACATTGTAGAAAATGTCTATATTTTCTATCTTTCTGATTTTTGTTTGGGAATTTCGGAATTTGTTCGTTTTCCCTCCCCTCAAACAATAACAACGATGAAAAAAATGATGATGATAATAATCATATACATGGTCAATGAATGAATGAATGAATGAAAAAAATGAAGAAGAATCATTGGATTTTCTCATATTTCTCTATATATCGTAAACATTATTAAACATAGATTTATCTTTATAGTGTATAAAAATGAATGAATAAAGATTAATACATAGATATTATTGTTAGTTATTTATATATGAAAATGTATATTGATTTTTGTTTTCTCTCTTTGATCTTTCTTTAGGATCGTTATCAGGCAATACACGATCCAATAAATTATGCACAAAAACGTACAATGAGACGTGTTTGTACATCGATTGGTATTGTTTGGATATTATCGGCAATAATATCAATACCACCATTAATCGGTTGGAATGATTGGCCGGATGAATTTAATGAAGAAACACCATGTAAATTATCGGAAGAAAAAAGTTATATAATTTATTCATCAATGGGTTCATTTTATATACCATTATTTATAATGACTGTTGTTTATTTTAAAATATTTCAAGCAACAAGAAGACGATTAAAAGATCGTGCTAAAGCAAGTGCAATTGTTAATTTAGGTAATTCAAGTCAACAACCATTAACAACAACACCATCATCAACAAAAAATAAATTAAAAAATCGACAACAACATGATAATAATGTAACAAAAATTGTATCATCATATGAAGATAGTTCAAGTTCAACATCACCAAAAACATCATCTTATATGACAAATACACAACGTTATTTACGTTGTTGTTTCAATTCAAATCGATATGGTCATAATAATGATAATAATGATGATAATGATCATCATCATCATCATCGATCCGTTAATAAATCAAATAATAAAAATAATAGAAAATTAAGATTTTCAACAAGAAAAATACTAAATGAAACTCGTATAGAAATTGAATCGGCAAGTGATGATCATTCAAGAATCAGTAGTAGTGAAGCATGTGTCGATATAACAAGTAATGTACCAGCCACTTATCATCGTGAATCATTATCAAATGATAATGATAATTATCAACAACAATGTAACGACGATGTTATTGATGATGATGATGATGATGATGACGACGACGACGACGATGATGATGATGATGATGACAATGATAATGATAATAAATCGATTGAAAATGTAAAAAATTTATCAATCGAAAAATTTGAAATCAATCACCATCATGATAATGAATGTAGAATGGAAAAAAGTGCCTCAATAACAACAACCAATAATAATAATAATAATAATAACCAAAATCAACAACAGAATTTAAATAAAGTGTTTCTACAAGAATCATCATTTCAAGAATATTCTATTATTATTCAATCGGATACAAATTCGGTAAGATGAATTTTTGTTATCATTTCTTTTTTGTTCATGAAACACATTCATTCATTCAGCCAAGGATATCATTATTAAAATTTAAAAATCTTTTTAATTCATTTTTTCACTTGAAAAAAGTCTCGTTTAGAATCAGTTAATTAATCATCATAAACACCTTCACCTCCATCAACACACCCACACACACACTTTTTGTTAGTTGTTTTGTCTTTTTGTTCACAGGAATATTAATAATTTAGCTATTCAAAATTGATTACCCTTTTTTTTATCATTCTAATTCTTCAGAAAAGTTGAAAAGAAATTATACCCGAAAAGTGCTAAATTTCAATGAATTTTTATTCACAGAAGCAGCCATAAAAACTGTTTAAAAGAGAATCATATATATTGCAAAACGAAAAAAAAAATAATTAATAGTTTTTCCTTTTACAAAACACACTAATGGATAACTTTTTCGAGCTTCAAACAAAAAAAAATGGAATGAAATTATTTTTCATTTTTGCGACCAATTTCACACAAACACATGTGTGTTTCGATTGTCCTCATATTTTTTTTATTATTATTATTAGTTTAGCGTTTTATTTGGGAAAAAAAACAAAAAATTCTGCTGTCTGCTTTCATTAATTATCATTATCATTATTAATAATAACCATAACAAAAAAAAATTGATATTTGAAATGAAAATTTGAGTTTTAGTTTAGTTTGTTTTTCCTATCATTTCTCTTTTGTTGATGATGTGTTCGGCATATGTGTGTGTGTGTTTCATAAGTGTGGATGTTATATAAAACTTGAGAAAGTTGTTAAAAAAATTTTTGTTTCCTTTTTAGCTGTTTCAAAAAAAAATGATAAACTTTTTTGTTGTTGTTGTTTGATAGGCCAAATTGATTTTAAAGTTTTTTGTTTCCTCATTTAAACAATAAGCGATAAAAAAATGATGATATGAAACTGGTCTAAACCCCGAAAAAATAACAAATATCAATTTTTCTCGCAAAAGACATTGAAAAAAACAAACAAACAACCCTAGCCATCAATCCGATTAATAATAAAGAACCCTGATAAGAGAAAGAAAGAAAGAAAAACTTATTTATTTTCGGCTCCCTTGATGTCGATCATCATCATATCGATTACCAATCATCAAGAGTGAAAAGAAAAGAAAAGAAAAAATATTTTAGCCATCGATTGGCCTTATACACATTAACATTAACAATATTAATGAAAATGAACAAAAATATATAGCCTATGTTCAAGTGTTGAAATGCAATATTATATTACACATTTGATGATATACATAGATATAGATGATGATTGTTTGGTTGAATGAATTACTAACTGAATGACTGACTGACTGACTGACTGATTTACTTTGTTAATCGAGTATAGAATTTTTGTTGTTGTTGTTGTTTGGCTGTATTGATCGACGATATTCTTTCAATGAAAATCATCATATATGATTGAATTTTTTGTTTCGTCAAAACCCGAATAATATCATTCAATATCCCTATTTGCCATTATATTTATAATGACTTTATAGAGCGATAGAGTGAGAGAGGAAGAGATAAATTGATCAAATAAGCGTTTTTCTTTCTATCTAACCATTCATTCATTGTTCCAAAAAAAAATCGTTTATGCGGTTTATTTTTCTCCAGAATTTTCTGAGGATTTTTCTTCTTCTTCTTTTGGATTTGATTTGTTCTGTTCGTGATACGATAATCAAACAAACAAACAAAAAAAACTATGGAGAAAACATGATGATAGTGAATACAATGGCGAATTCAATTTTTGATTTTTATATCAGAAAGAAAAATTATTATTATTATTATTATTTTCAATGGAATATTGCCTATAGTCGAATAATAATAATAATGATAATAAAGCGAAGAGAAACAAACAAACAAACAAACCATTATATAATAATATTATGTAAGTTCAATATGTTTTTATCAATTTTCTATCATCATCAAGCATACAACAACAACAACAACAACAATGATGATGATAATAATGTATGATTATCATCAATTTATCATCATTGATTGATTGTGTATGTGTGGTTATTTTATTTCATTATATTTGTTGTTCGATGGCTAACGAAATTTTCTTCAATTTTTCCATTCTTTTCTTTTCCATAATGGATCGATCAAACAATAATGATAATCGAAAAAAGAAAAATGAAATTTGAAATGGAATTTCTTTATTTTTGGCCATCAATTTCTCCGAGTGTGTTTGTGTTTAGTGTGAATGAATGAATGATTTTTTCTCTACACAAACATTGTGTATATATTTGTTTTGATCTTTGGAAAAACAAATTTTCTTTTTTTTTTCTTCTTCTCCGATGATTGAAAAGAATCATTCATAGGCAATGATGATGATGATGATGATTTCTAGAGAATAAAAGATAAAAATAAAGATGTTGATCTTTACGAGAAAAAAAAAATTTTATTCCGAATTTTTTTTTTCTTTTTTCGGTTCAACAACAATAAATAATGGAGAAAAGAATCTGGAATCCAGAAGATATAGTGAGTGAGTGAGTGTGATGAATCATGTGAAGAGATTTTCAAAATTGATTTTTTCATTCTTTCTTTCTTTCTTTTCATTTCTTTATCTAGGTTCAATTCTCTTATTTCACTATAGTTGTTGTTGTTGTTGTTGTTGGACAAAAACGGCTGGAATAAATTTGAATGATAAGATGATAAGATGATGATGATAAGTGTTTAATCAAGAGAAAATAATGATGATGATGATGATGATATAACTTGAATACTAATCATAATAATATATGGCTGTCTGGCTGTCTTAGTCTGTCGTTCTTCGTTAATGTAAATGAATGAGAATCGATCAAATTTTTTTCTGATATTCACCACCTACGCTTATTGAATATATCGCTTTGTAGTTTTGTTTTGTTTTTTTTGCACCATGTCAAATTAACTAAATCAAAGACTAACTAATCAATTGATTGATAGGATTTTTTCAATTTTGTTTTGTTTTTTGTAAAGTGATTTTTTTCTGTTGTTTTTCCCATTGATTACATTGATTTGTAATTTCAATTTAATTGGCTTTTATATTATTGATTTTATCATTATCATCATCATCATTGATATGAAATAGGGTCAATTCAATATGAATGAATGAATGAATGAATGGAGAAACAAAAAACAGAAAGATGGTTCAGAACATTTTTCGTTGATCCAGAAATTCTTTACCATACGACAAAAGATCTTTGTAAAAGAGATAAAGCATATAAAGAGGATTGTGAGAAAAAAAAATTGATCCATTTTTTGTTTTTTTTTTTTGGTTGCCATAAAAATGTCATTAATATTTAAGCGAAATAAGCGAGTTGAGTGTGTCGTCGTGTATTGGATGCAACAACAACCGAAAAAAATATCGATTTTTTTTTGTTGTTGTTGTTGCCCGAAACGTGGTAATCAAAAAATCGAAATTTTTTCTTTTCGTTCTGCTATGCGAACCGGAGAAATTCAGTATTTTAAAAAAATTGAAATTTTTTTCTCGAATGAATTTAATTAACATTCATTGTTGAATGTGACGAAAAGAAAAAATTTGATCAATTTTTTCGTGTGTGTGTGTGTGTTGTGCATTGATTTCAGAATTTTCAAAATTCTTTTATTCGCTCTCTCGCTTGCTTTCTTCATTTTTTGTGAATTAATTTCATCAAAGAAGCATTGAGAGAAAAAAAAAATGACTAACTAAAAGTAAAAAACAAGAGATCGAAAAAAATCAATGTGTAAATCAATTGTGATTGTCTCATCACATTTTATGTATGTCTGTTTTTTTTTCGTTTGATTCAAATTAAAACGAACAAAACTGATGAAAAGAGAGATTGTCGAATACTTTTGTTCCTTGATATATTATTCGACTGTGTAGATGTGTGATGTGTGAATGTATTTTTTTTTCGATGACAAATTGTAATCGGAAATATCAAATAATGTTTTGTAAGCGGATTTTATTTTTTTTTCTCCTGTTATTTTTTGTTCTACCATTTCACCAGTAGAGGAAAAGCTGTGAAACGATACATTTTCATTCTTTTCACATTCTCATTATTCAATGTCCGAATTCTTTTATATTTTCTTGCATACTTTTTTGTTTTGTTTTGTTCAGGAAGTAAAACTAGATTCTGTTAGCATCAATTTTGTGTGTTGGTTTTCAAAACATCATCATCACATACTCTTTGCTCACTGTGTTTTCTTTTTCTTTTTTTCACCGGGTTATCTTCGGAATAAACATTGATGATGAAAATGTGATTGACTTGAATTTGGTTGTTTGAAATTTTTACATTCATTTTATGCCTGGGTGAATGGATGGGGGTGTATATAGTGTGTGTGTGTGTGTGTGTGTGTGTGTCATTGTTTTGTTTTGTTTTAACCATCTACTATCCATTATATAATTTGATGATGATAATTTTTTTTCCTATGAGAATTTACTTCTTGTTGTCTGTTTGTCTTTTACTATTTTACTGGCTGCCTAGTTTCGTTCTCTGTTTTGTTTTTGTTTTTGTTGTTGGATTTTCCCATACGAGACACACACAAACATGAATGATTATCGACCATTTTAACATTGTGTTAAATTTTTTTTGTTTTTCCATGGTCCATTTGTGTTTTCCGTTTTGTTATTTACATATGATATATATGCTGTACATTGTGCAAGGATAAACAAACAAACAAACTAACGAAATGTATCTAGGAATGTTTGTTGTTTTCCGTTTTGTTTTTTGTTTTGAACGTTAATTTTAATTAAAATTATACAAAATTTTTTAGCTGTAACATTGTTGTTGCATTCTGTTGATGATGTTTAGAATTTTTTGTTTTTTGAAGAAAAAAGAAATGATTCATTTGTTTCTCTTTTTGTTTTGTTTCGTAGAAAAAACATCTGCCAACAAATGATAATGATGATGGTAATAATCATAATGAAACGACAACGTTTGTCATTAGTAAAGATATTCAACAGCAACAACAACTTGATCGTAGGAAGAATATTAGCCCACAATCGTCTACTAATCAACAACAACAACAACAAGTAATTAGCTCAACAACATCAGCATCATTTGCTGCATCAACATCATCAATTGTAAATAGTGATAATAATAATCCAACAATAGTTAAAACGGAACAACAACAACAACAACATAATCGTTCAAATAGTAAATATTTGAAAATGTTCAAACAACAACAACAACAACAACAACAACAACCATCAATGATAACAACTGGAACAACAACAATAGTTACAAAACCATTACCAGTATCAGTGAAAAAAATATGGGAAGAAAAGCAAAAAATTTCATTATCACGTGAACGTCGTGCAACAAGAATTTTAGGCATTATTATGGGTGTATTCGTTGCTTGTTGGTAAGTATTTGTATTCGTTTTGTTTTGTTGCTGTTGTTTTTTGTCATTCATTATTCCCATTTTTTTCCAATGTTGATAAAAATATAGAGTGACAGTGAAATTTATATACAGAGAGTTTGTTCCAATGCCTTTAGGCAATGACATCTTTTTTTTTGTTTTTGTTTTTTGTTGAAAATTTTTGATGAAAATGATGTTGACCATTTTTATACACTTCTCTATGTGTGTGTGTGTGTGTTATGTCATTCTTGTCATCATCATCCACGTCGATATTTGGTTAATTGTATTTGAAATACATCCATTCATTCATTTTTACATAATGAAATTTTTTTTTTTTTTTAAAGAAACTTATTTTTCAAATATTATCATATTGCGAATGATTTTCTATGAATTTTTTTTTAATAAATGAAGGAAATAACAAAATATCACATTAATATATGATTGGCATTCAATTCAACAACAATTTTTTTTTCAATTCAATTTAATTTCGAGACATGCTTTGATAGTAGAAAAAAAAGAATTCCATTTCAATAATAAGATCGAATAATAAAGGAAGAAGAAATCTTTTTTTTCATCAACTTTAAAATCATCAAATTTTCATCGAAATTTTTTTTTGAAAATGATAAAAATAATGATGCTAACATAATTTGACATGCCATTCTTCATTCATTTGATTCATTCACTAAATGAATGAATGAAAAAATACTTTACAAAAACATTGTTTTATTGTACGATGATATCGAACGAGATAGAGAGAAAAAAAATTTGTTAATTAGTAAATGCATTATACTTGTTTTTCTTGCGATTCTTCTTTTTTTTTTGAATTTTGATATTGACCAAATACAAATACAAGAATTTCATTTGCTTACATCTTTTGTTGATGATGATGATGATGATGATATCTATTTATTCTTTTGAAAAATAATTGACATACAAAATGAAAAATGAAAGATGAAAAGAAAGAAAAGTTTATTTTTCCATGAGAAAAACTAAAGAACTAAAGAAAAGAATATCCCCCCCAAAAATTCTTTACGAATTTAATCTTTAGTGGTTAATTGTATTGATGACGAGATTTTCTATTCGATTGACATTGATCAATATGCATTATTTATTTATTTATTTCAAATTCTCTACTCTCTCTCTCGCTCTCTCTAATATATTCATTTTGAAAGAGAAAAAAAAAATTCCATTTTCTAATGCAAAAAAAACGAAACGAAAGAATTTTTGCATATAACTTTAACGTCATCATCTTGGTTGTTTTGTTGATGAATGTAATAATGATAATAATGGACATAGAAGACAGAGAAGAAAAGGAAAAAAAATATTTCAAGTGTGTCAACAAATAATGATCATAATGTGTGTGTGTGTGTGTGTGTGTGTGAGTGTTTGTGTTTGATGGAAAACAAATTAATTTGTCTATCGATAGATGCCAAACAACAACAATAACAAAATGAATGAATGAATAAAGGAATAAAATGTCTCCATATGATGATGCTTAATAATTCTATATTATCATTATTATAGTCTACATTTCAAACAAAGCTGTGTATAGGTTTCAACAAAATATGTGAAAGTTTACTGTTTGTGTGTGTTTTGGTAATGAAAGAGAGAGGGTTACAAATTTTTATTTTATTTTTTATTATTTTTGCAAACAAAGTTTTAGTCATATCTTCTCATCATCATCATTGTTGAAATAATAATAATGATCCAGCAAAAAAAATTACAGAGTGAGAGAGGCATCCTTTTTTGTTTGTTTGTTTTTTTTATGAAAGAATTTTTGATTGTTGTTTTTTGTTCAGACTGAATTTCTTGTCAAAAACTTTTCATTCTAATCAATAATTTTCATTATTATTATTTGAAAAATTTCACTTTTTCTCTATGTTTTCATATTCACTAATTTTTCATTTTCTCTTTTTCTTTCGCTTTCCAATTTGGATTCCATCAATATCATCATGATGTTTCAAACCAAAATCAAGGCTTCCATTCTTTTTAATGTATGTTATAGTGCCTTTTTGTAAATCATGTGAATTATCACGTGAAACGGTCAATTTTATTACATGGCTTGGGTAAGTTGGTTTTCACTCTTTTTTTTAATGTTTGTATAGCGTGATTGATTGATTTTTATTGTTTTTTTCTTTTCTCAAAAATACACACAGATATATGAATTCAGCTATAAATCCGTTAATTTATTGTGGATTTAATCGCGATTTTCGTCGTGCATTTCAAAAAATTATTCTCTGTAAAAATGTATGAAAATTCAATTCAATTCATTCATTCTGCCGGCCATATTTATAAACATAAGCAAGAATTCTTTCTCTTTTTGGATGTTTTCATCGGATAAAACATTTTTCAAACATTACCACCATCGATTATTATCTGCTGATAACCAAAAAAATTGTTCAACTCAAAAACTTATTGTTGTTTTTTCCTCTTTTTTGCTCATTTTAATATCTAATTTTTTGAACAAAAAAAAAACTGTTGTTGATTTTCACCAGACAAATTTCCTTCAACAAAACAAAATTGAATTTTGAATTCAAATATTTTTTTTCTTCAAAATGTACATAAATTCTTTTTTCTTGTAACAAAGAATTCTGTAAACATTCTATGAACAAGAATGAAGTGTAGATACTCTTTTCTGTTGTTGTTTTGTTGTATAAAATTTTTAAAAAAGAAAAAATAAATAAACCTATTACACGGTGAAAGTAATTTTTTTTGTTGTTGTTCATTATATTTCCTGTTTATTTTTTTCAAAATTCGTTTTTTTATCATTTTTCTCTGTTTTTTCTCCTCTTTTATTTAGGTAAACCATCAAATTTGAATTTTGTTTTCGATTCTTGATGAAAATTTCCCGGAACAGCCATGAAATTCACAAAATATTCGGCAAGAATGATGACCAGGAACGATTGAAAATCGATTGGAATGGGAAAACTGGTTTTTTGTTTCGGAAATTTAATTTTGTCCAGTGAAAGAAAAAAATTTTACATTTTTAAATTTGAAACGTTTTGGGCAAAAGAAAAGAAAATTCCTCATACATTCTCGACATAAACTTGCATCAGAAACTACAGTAAAGTGTGGACATTCCAGAATAAATGTCGACCAACAAAATGCACAACATATAATAGTTCCAGATGTGTTTCGTTTCGTTTCGTGTGTGTGTTTGTCACTAAATAAATGTTCATTCTTTTTTTGTTTATGTAAACAGATGATGATTTTGTTTGTTTTTTTGCTATTTTATTCAATGTTGAAATATTTTTTTTATTTAAGAAAAAATTCAAGAAAAAAATCAACTCGAATAATTTTTCCATCATTCATTTTTGATTCTGTTTGAAAACAAAACAAACAAACAAACATTCCAGATGTTTATTTTGCAAAGAAGAAGAAAAAAACAAGGATGATGAAATTGATGATTGCAATTTGCAGGAAACAAAAAAAAAAGTCAAAAAACCTGTTACCTGGTGTAATTTCTCAAGAATATTTCTCTCTGTTTGTTTTGTTTTTGTTTTGATTAAAAAAAAATTCCAAATAATCATCAACAGCAACAAAAATGAAAAATGAATTTCTTCATCATCATTGCTGTTGATTGAAAAAAAATGAATAAAGTTGAATTCAGTTTTTTCCTTTTTCATTTAATTTGTTATCTTCTTTTTCATTCTCGCATACCATACCGAAAACAAATTTGAAATACCTGATGTCTGATTTTTTGGTTGGTTTGTGTGAAAAAAAATGAATGAAAAATTTAATTGAAATTTTCTGTAATATAGAGATATGCACATCCAAACATCCCAACACACACATACACACACGTTGCATATTAAATTTAGAATTTAAATTTAGATTCAAATGGATAGATAGACCAACAACAACAACAACAACAAACGAGAAAAACAACAACAACAACAAACTTTTCATTAATAATAATGATGATGAAACTGATATTATGAAAGAAAATTAAGATTTTTCACTCTTTTTGTTTCATTTCATAATGAAACAAACAAACAACAAAAAATCTAATAATAAAAGTTATCCCCTTTCATTTCTATCTTATGGATGTGTTTTTTTTTCGTTGTTGAAACTTTTTTTCTCTGTTGTAGTTGTTTTTTAATGATTTTTGTATCATTATTTTTGTGATTTAAACGTTTCATTTTGAAGAAATTTTTTGTTTATCTTAAAATGAAGAAAATAACAATGTCGAACAACAAATCAAGCAAAACTTGAACAAAAAAAAAAAGTTTTATGATTCTTGTTGTTGTTGTTCTTGAAGAAGTTTTCCAAACAACAAACAGTATAAATGATCCATTTGTCCCCCGTTCACATCCTTTTCAGATAAAGTTTATTATTATTTTTTATGGTCTAATTTTGCTGTCACATTTAAGAAAAACAAAAAAAATACCGTATACTGTTTGTGTGTGTGTTAAAACTCTCATCATTCTCCTTCATAAGAATTTTCATGGTTAACAATTTTTTTTCCCAGGATAAAATTATTGTTTTGAAGAAACCAACAAAAACCAAAAAAAAAAAACTTGAAAATAAACAAACAAAAATCCTCGAATCAACTTTGAAACAAAAAATTTTTTTCCAATCAATGATGAAAAATGCATTCAAGAATATCATTTTTTTTTTTTTTTTTTGTTTTGTTTTGTTTTTGGTTTTTCTCGAGATATTCTGTTTCAAAAATAAAAAAAGTAAAATAATAATGATAATAAGATGAAAAATAATGATGATGATAATATTTTCTTTCCATTGTTTTCATCATTATTATTAATATTATTATGAAGAGGTTTTTTTTTCATTTGGAATTTTTTTTTTTTTTGCTTTTCGTTTTTTTCCCTTCCTGATTACAATGATAATAATAATAATATTCTCTCTATCTGTGTATGTTTTTCACATTGATTTCATTGAATAAAGCCAACTTTTATCATCATCATCATTATCATCGTATAGGCAATATATATTGAACAAAATATGAATAAATGAATGAATGAATGAAAAGTTTTTTTTTGCACTTCTTTTCAATTGTACAATGCTTTACATCATCATCATCATATGATATAATAATGATGATCAAAAATGTTAATATGAAGAGTTTTTCTATAAATATTGAGAGAAAGAGAAAAATAACCCAAATACACCATATACATACAGTAGTTACGAAGCCATTCTACGAAACAAAAAAATTAAAACTTTCTTATCTAAATTATCTATTTGGATTTTCGAAAATTTTTAAAAAGCTTTTTTTTTCGATGTGCATATGGGGAGGGGTTAATCTCTTCCAAATCCGATATATATTGATAATGATGAGGATTTTTTCAAAATATTTTCATTAGAAAACAACATTGGTAAAAAATTTCTATGAAATGTTCATAAATGAAAAGAAAGAAAGAACCAAGAAAAATGAATTTATCATTGGAATTTGTCATCTCTTTCGTTGGATTCTTGAATGAATCCCCGGCGTAAAAAAAAGAATGTTTCACAATCATCATTCGCAAGATTGAAATTCAATAATAATAATCATCAATTTTTTCTCAAATAAATTGGTCGAAGAATTTTTTCTAGCTTTTGACTTTCGGATGATGATTTTTGGGTCCTTTTTTCATTTATCATTGAATTCACATTGAAATGACAAAAGTTAAGGATCGCCAAAATATCCCCACCAAAAAAAAATATTAGTGTTAATTTCATTAGTATTCAATGAATGGGATAAATATCAACGAGAAAATGAAAAGAATTTCCTTTTTCCATTTCGAACATCTTTTCACTGCAGTAATTCACTTAATTGATTGACAAATTTTTTGTTTTCGGTTCATCTTTTTTTTCCAGCCAAAAAAAAAAACAATATTTTCATTTTGTCTTTGCGAATTGATTATGATCAATGATGGAAGAAATTCTTCGAAAAATTATGATGATTATAAGAAGATTGAAACGAAACAGAAAAAAAATGATGACTCAAATAATCATTTCAAGGTTTTTTATTCCACTTCGTTTCCTAAAATCAAAAACAAAAATATATATATAGTTTCCTGTCATTTGAATTTGAGTAAAAAAAAAATTATAGATTTTGTTTTCATAAAAAAGCATAAAATGCGAAAATAAACCAAAATCAGCAGATTCAGTTGACATTATTATTATTATTATGACAACCATGTTGAAAATCCAATGATATGAATATGATGAATGATGACAAACAAACGAACGAACGAATGAAATAAAAAATGAAAAACTTTGAATACAAAACCAACATACAAATGAACGATAACTGTTATATGACTCTAAAAATAGATATAAAAAAAAATTTCGGACCTTTTTTTTCCCTATTTAATTTGCTTATTTAAACATTTATGAATAGCCCCTGCAAATACACATACGCAAACATTAAATAAAATGATAATAATTTAATTTATGTATGCTAATTACTGTTGACTGTTGAATGATTGACTAACTGAATGAATGAATGAAAACAAAGTGGAAAAAATAAGTTGTAAGCATAAGAGAGAAAAAAAAAGAAAGAAGAAGAATCCACATAATGATAATGATGATGATAATGATGTTAAATGTTGAGAGAGAAATCTATTTATTTTTTGTTTAAAAGTCAATGTTTGTATGTAAGTGAGTGATGTCATTTATTGCGTGTCATTTAGTTTGGACCATTCATTATGATTTTTTTTTGTTCCCGCTTGTTTGCTAAGAGGTTAAATACATGAAGAAGACATTCAAAATACATTCAAGAAATATGGTATTCATTAAGAAATTCATTACTGTTTTTCTTTTTCATTTACTTTTTTTCGATAACATTCATCACGTACGAACAAAAACGGAAAAACGAAAAACAAAAATTGATTTAAGGCAGTGAAGCTGCCATTCGATGCAAAGGGCAAAAAATGTTTCAATTGATTTTTCTGTTTTGTTTTTTGTTTTTCTGTTTTGAATGAAATGAATATGAATGATGTGAATCTCGAAATGTAATGAATTGACGACAGACGGAAATCCAATCGATTCCGGCAAGACAGTGAAATTTGCCTTTGAAAAAGTTTATTGAAATGGAAAAAAAATCCTTTTTTGAAAATCAAATTTTTTTTTGTTTTGTTTTTTGCCTGATTATAATTCCGACAATGATGAATGAGATGACAATGATGACAATGATGAATGATGAGAAATTTTTATCAAAAATTTCTGAATCTAAAGATGGATTTTTAGAATACAAATAGATTTTTTACACAGGGACAAACTGACCGCTTAGTCATCCTCTATGGATGGCTATGAATGGATGATAATGATGAAAAATATCGATTTTTTTTCTTTTGGTTTAGATTTGAAAATGAAATTCAGTTCATCAGTTCGGCTGGATACCTTTGCGTATTCATATAGGAAAAAAGTAAAGAATTTCGTTAAAAAAAAGAAGAATCTATCATGCAT